CTTAAGTCTCATAGAGAGCAGGTCTTTTCACAGCCAACATGCTGGAGCAGGGCTGACCAAATAAATACTGGACTTAAGTTGTTTATTTTTGTATTATATTTCGTATTAAGCATTATTTTCATATTAAATTAACTATGTATAACGTTTATTTTTTCTGCCTGTATTGAACAGTGTAGACCGACCAGGAGCACACAGAGGGAGAGAGAGATAGAGAGAGAGAGAGCGGCATTAACACAGGAGTGTGTGATTGCTTTAGGCCACCAGAGGTCAGCATTGTGCGGTAGAGACACTGTGGCTGTCAACAGGGAGCGCTCGGACGATGGCGTGTAAATCGTAGGGGTATTCTGCCGACCGTGATGTTTTCTTATGTTCATAAATCTGGTTTATCTTTATTTTAAATGGAGATTATCGCAGTCGGTCGACGCTGGGTCAGGTTTACGGACCAGGTCTGTGGGATGAGGTCCGCGGTGTTTGGGGATGCGCAGTGCGCCTCCCTGCCGCTGCTGACTGGGACTGCTGCAGTGTAAACAAGATTGTCCGAGGCTGCATCGCTGCTGTCTGTGGGGCGAAAGAGTCACCGACACAGTGACAAATGCCAGCTGAGTTCTTGGCTTAACAAGCGACAGTTTCATCATGAACCGTCCGCGGGTTTTCAGTGCGCAACGATTTCAGTTCTGCAAGCTGGCCTGGTTTTCTTCTTTTAATTAAACTGGACATCTGTCACTTGTGAGCAAATGATCCTCTTTCTCGTTTGATTAATCAGATGGACTTTGTCGCTGAGGAAGTATCAACTCCCTCTTGAATCTCAGGAAAAATGACAGACAACCAGGAAACCCCAGATGCTGAGGACGCGACTCCGTCCCGGAGCACGACCTTGCCGCCGCCGCCGCCGCTCCGGCCGCCGTGCGAGCGCCTCTCCTGCCACAAGACCAGCGTGTGCTCCCGCTCCTACTTCGTGGTAGTAATGGTGTTTTTTCACGTGTACATCATTAATGTTATTGCACTGTTGTTTTACGTGCACTACAACAGCGGGCAGGACGATGCCAACCGGAGTCGTGATGCTCCCACCGGTAACCACCAACAGCGCCCCGAGTCGGGACGTCCGCCATCAAAGCCTGAGTTTCTGCGTGATGTTTCCCTAACAAGAATCGAGGGAATAAGGGTGAGTAATGTGATGATGCACCACTCCCACTCATTCATTTACTCATACTCTTTCTCTCTCACACACACAAACAAACACACACTACAGGCACCACCAAATCACTTTTGGTTTATGTTTTTTTAGGTGGGACATGTCCAGAAGGTGTCACTGGTGCCAGGCAAAGTGCATGAAATGCGCACTCTGAGTCTGAAACCTCTGCTGTTTGGTAAGAGCCATAGACACCCATGTGGCAAAACAAATTTTACAGCTCACCCACATGAGCCTCTAGTGGCCAAACAGGTTTCTTATTCCGATTAATGTAAATATATTTTACATTCACAACACACTGTCCACCTTCATCTCAACCACCCCCCTAAACACACAGCACAGTGTGTACATGTGTGCTAAGAACAATCAATGAAATGGGCCAATAAGTCCTGAGGCAACTACTCAACAATACACATCGGACCCAATTAAGGGCTTACAGCTGACTGAATAGCACAGCTAGTTATGCATCAACATGCAGTGTTTTGTTGTTAGATGTATTGGACTAAAGATGGTACAAGTGGGAAAATGTTTGTTTCTCTGTTTTCTACATTTTTACATGTTTTGTTTTGGCTACAAGCGTAAATGAACTATACATGAATGGTTCAGTGCTGATATTAATGATACCACTAGGCATCAGTTGGTCTGCAAAACTGCTAACTGATTAAATGGTTGTCTACATTAGCACTACAACAACTGTTATATTGACTGTTGATTAATGGCTAATTATTTTCTCTATTTTCTTTTCTGTTTTTCTTATAACTTCCCAGAGGCAATGAAATGATTTGTTAGATACAAAAAAAAATAGTTAACAGAGTTGTCTGTTAACTAATTGATCCATCGACTAATCACTTCAGCTACATAAAACTAGAGACACTTGTAAAAGGAACATTGGTACATTACAGTCTGGTCTCACGAGGAAGCAGATCAGAAAATGTGAAGCATGCAGCTAAGAAAATGTCGTAATCATGCAGTCCTTTTGACCCAAGAGACTTTCCTCTTAACTCTCTATAACTGTTTGTTTTTCTGCAGAGATCCCTGAGTTTTTATCGGAGGATGAGTGCCGTGTTGTGATGCAGCTCGCACAGCTAAAGGGTCTGATGGAGAGCCAGTTGATGGTGCAAGATGGCCAGGAAGAGCTGGCCAAGGAGCTCAACCTCAGCCCAGACGAGATCTTCAACCTTCTTGATATCAACCAGGATGGAGAGTTGCAGCTCCATGAGGTGTATGTCAGTTTGTGGCTTGTGAGCACATACTGTGAAGAATGATGTGCACTAGTTGTTTGGTTCAGAGTTGGTAAACTCATCCTGTCTTTACTATCGTGCATCCCACAGATTCTGACTCATTCTCGAGTGAGGGACGGCATCTGGCTCACACCGGAGAATCTGCGTGAGATCTATGCTGGGCTCAAAGCTGACAAGGATGGTAATGGTAAGAAATCAACTTCATTCATCATTTTGGGTCTTGGGACTAGAGATGTAACAATAACAATTGATGATTAAAAAAGAGTCCTTTGTTTCTCAGACAAAATCTACAAAGTATATTTTCTATTTTTAGAGTTAGAGTCCAAACAAATAATGAAAATATTCTTAAACTTTGTGAGAGAATAGTGAAACTGAAGTCTTTGCACCTTGATACCATCATTAATATCAAGGTTAATTTTTCATCCCACCATTTGAATCTTCACATATTTGTTTTGCGATTTAAGTGTCTCGTGATATATCTTTACATTAGTAATCAATACTTTTCCCCAATCTACTCTACTGGCACAGAAATGTATCTTTTTGCATTGTGTTTTATTTTGAAATCCATTGTGTTACAGATCAGTAGTTCGTGTGTGTATTTGTACATAATAGTATTTTTGAATCTGTGAGATAATTTCAAACATTTTTATATTTCATTTAATTTACTAATTGATTTTTTTGAAAACTGGGCTACTGTCTGAACAATCTTCAGTATACTGTCTATGTTGATATGTGTACTATAATGAGAGAAAGAGTGTGAAACGTGTCTGAACACACAGCATCAAAATAATATGTACATTCTCATATTTTGGACAGGTTTGCTGAGTCTAGAGGAGTTCAGGCTACTGAGCAATGATGCCTTCCAGCGCTTCCTGATGCAGCAAGGAGTGAAAAGGAGTCAGCTGGTGAGGAACAGCAGACACACCTGGCTGTACCAGGGCAAAGGGGCACACCAGGTCCTCCAAGACATCAAGGAGAGGTAAGCAAGTTCGAACAATGTCCTCTAAATGCTGAGGTGCTGTAATAAATCATATACTGACATAATAATGAAGAATACTTCCAGACTTCCAACTTCCAACTTCTAGATGTGTTTTTTATACCTTTAACAAAGGGTGACTCGCCTCACCCGGCTCCCGCCCTCATTAGTGGACCTCAGCGAGCCGCTCCAGGTGGTTCGCTATGACGAGGGAGGACACTACCATGCCCACCACGACAGCGGCCCTGTGTATCCTGAAACGGCCTGCACACACACGCGCCTCGCAGCCAACACTTCAACTCCGTTTGAGACGTCTTGCAGGTGAGATGACGCGGGGTGCCACTTCCACGTATCTGTTCAGATCTGAATTCATCCGTCCGGTGTGATTACTAAACGCTGCATTCATCGTGGCAGCTGGCATGCTAGTTTTTGTGACTCAGCATTGTTCATTTTGGAAAAAAATTGTGTGCTTGCCACTTGTTTGCAAAGTGTTTGTAAGTGTGTGTTTGTTTGCATCATACATGTGTGTGTCAATTTAAATCTGTGTTGCACACCTAGGTACATCACAGTTCTCTTCTACCTGAACTCTGTTGAGGGGGGTGGGGAGACCGCATTCCCTGTGGCAGACAACAGGACCTATGATGAAGTGGTGCGTAATTGTGTGTGGGTCTGGAAATGTGTGCAGAGAGCGCTGCAAAAGTATTGTGTACATACTGTGCATGTCTTTCACATCTGTGTTAACTCACTTGTTTGTCAGTTAGTACTTGGGCCTGACGTTAAACAAACTGTGTCGCTGAGTTGGATTGTGTGTTTTAGTCTCTCATACAGAATGACGTTGACCTTTTGGACACCAGAAGGAATTGTAACAAGAGTAACCTGAGGGTGAAGCCTAGCAAAGGCACAGCTGTTTTTTGGTACAACTACCTTTCTGATGGAAGAGGTAGGATTCCCATCAAAGATTACAGCACAATGTATTAACCTGGTTAATGTAATGTCCAGCTTTACAGTTGTTATCACAGTGTGAATGAAAAGACTATGCTCCTTGAGGCTGTACTTATGCACAGTGGTGTTTAATCTAAATGCTATTGCCAGCTTGCTAACATGCTCATAAAGACAATGCCAACATGCTAATAATGTTTATCAGGTATGTTTATCACAGTATGAACACCATCTTAGAATAGCATGTTAGCATTTGCTACTTAGCACTACACATGTACAAGTAGTACAGCTGAGGCTGATGGGAATGGCTATTTGGTCATAAACCAAAGTATTTGTCAAATTAGCCTCATGGTAGCGCTAGATTAAAAGCCAGATGATCACCAAAGTCATTAGGATAGATTGTACAGGGGACATGAATGTTTGCATGTTCTGTTAGATGTTGAGACATTTTACTGGATAAGGGAAATCGTTGACCTAATGATGGTATTAGATCAAAGGTCAGAGATCAACAAATACATCCTTTGGGGACGATGAATGTCGTCAGTTGCAGAGATACAGTGTTTTAGTCTGGATTGGTGGGTTGACATTGCCATATTGCCCCTAGAGCCACCAGCTAAATAAGGGTTACTTTATTTGTACCCGTAGGTAGATTTGGTTTGCAGCATTAGACAATGAATTCCTCTTGACAAAATATTTTAACAACTAGGACAATGGACAAACATGGGATGGTCCAGGCTCTAAAAATCAGGACTTATAAATCAGGATAATGAGAAACTAAACCTGAAATAACATTTTATTCATTTATTTCAATTCTGTTAATGTTGGTATGTAACATCATTTAACATTTATTTTTCATGGCACAATTCAGGCACAGAGCAAAAGTCAATATATAAAATACAGTCAAAAGGTTGAGATTCATGCCATATTGGTGTTGTATCTATAAAAACACCAAATGTACTGTTTAAGAAAGTGAATTTAAGGTTGAAAGTTTTCCAAATAAACTCAGATGTTAGTTTGGAGAATAAAACCACTCAAGCAATTCATCTTGACCAACCAGTTGAAGCAGTGTGTCCGTCACAACATCAGTGTGAGCCCTGTGTGTTACAACATGGACGCTGACATTAAATTGGCTTTTTTTCCCATAATAGGTTGGGTGGGTGAGCAGGATGAATACGCTCTGCATGGAGGCTGTGTGGTCACCCATGGCACTAAGTGGGTCGCCAATAAATGGATCAACATTGATCCAGATTACCAGCGGCAGGCTCGCTACCAGCAGCTGGTTTCACAGCAGCCAGAGGACGAAGAGGATGAAGAAGGTCTGACTCTGAACCCGGACATACAGAGTTCTGATATCCATGAAGACTTGTAGCTCGTAAACCAAATTTATATTTAAAAAAAATCTACCTAGCCTTCCAGTCCTGTGCACAACTTCTTTGGCAATGTCCTCTGTGGCCAGTATGTAGAGACAAGATTTATTCAGGGAACGAGGTCACAGTGGATTTATGCAACTGTAAAGAGATGCTTTTGTTAAATATTGCTTGGATATTGTTATCCTGTTATTTTTTAATCTGCTGTGATTTCCCATTTTAGGAATGTTGCACTAGAAACTCATTAAAGGAATTGAGACAAAAAAAAAGTCCTTGCATGCATTAGCTTCACTGGTTTTGCTGTTACTATGAGCAAAAAATTGCACTTGAAAATTGAAATGGCTACCGTCAACATTTCAATGTCCTACCTTGTTATTGCTGCCATGACCAAAAAGGCTCACACACCCTCAGTGTGATGCATGTTGCCTTGTCTTTGTTCTTTCAATGAATCATTATTTTCTGTCATATTCTTTTCAAAAGGGTATTGTTTGGATGTTTCATTTCATGTATTTATGTATTTTCTTGTCATTAAAACTGCACTGTATCACGCTCTCACACTCAATAAAGTTAAATTAAGCCTGTGTCCTTAGCGTTAGTCTTCCTACTACGAGATGTATAAATATCAACAGAACTCAACCATAAAATGAAAGAAACACACTGCAATATTTAATACTACAATCAGTGTTTATTTTATGCTCAACTCTCAGCTTCTGATAGTCCGCCCAGTAAGTTTTTCCATCTTCAGCACTGGATGTCCTGTTTCGTTGAAATCCCTAAAGTTTTGTGCTGGTGTATGCATCCTGAAATCAACCAGTTTTAGGAAAGTAATTTAGCTTAAATGATTAAATGTCAATGTTCAGTGTTGATAATCAACTGTTAACTTAATGCTATATGTCAGTAAAATGTGTTATATTTGCAGCTAACTATGTTTACTAAGTCACTGGAAAGTTCACTATCAACACTGGACCATCCAAATGGTGTGAACTGAACCTGAAAGCTGAACATCAGCTGCATATACTCACCACTGAAGGCTCGTATCTGGGGATTGATGTTGCTCCACGATGGTTCAGACAGTAGAGCACAGCATCATGAACGGAGGCAAAAAGACGTCTCTTTGTTATCGACTCTGTGAAGAAGCCACCGAGCTCTAATTGTTCCACCACAGAGGCTGAGGAGACAACCATTTACAGCCAGATTACCACCATGATAAAGTCTATTCTTGTAGTACAGCCTGAAGGAAGTGAGAAGGTATTCACTGACCTTGACAAGCAGCCATGTAGATATCTACATCGATCTCACTGAAGTCCTGGAAAATCTGTCAATATAATAAATACTAAATATTTCTCCTCAATAAAAGTCACTACTGCACCAACCTTTAAACATCTGTTTCTTCCATATCAGGAGCTACTAATGCTAATCAGTCCAAAAATCTATCTCACATAATAATAAGCATCAGGGTTGATTTAACTGTAAGAGAACAAAACTATACATTTTGTCAGTGTTTTAATGTAAATAAAAGTTTAACTATTTTAGTGCTCAGCAGTGTTGGGTAGTTACTCAAAAAGTGTAATATATAACTCATCACTCTCTTAAAAAGTAATGTAATTACTTATTACTCCCTGCCAACAGTAATTAGTTACACTACTAATTAAATTACTTTTCTGCTATTCCCCAGAAAATTGGTAATTGTGTCCCTTCTCCCCAAAATACAAAAGACAATTAAAATCCAGTTTTGTTTGTTAAAATCAAAGTAATGTAAATGTTTTCATCTTCCAAACTAGATTCCTCTATGATTACAAGAATGAATCCAAGGATGTGGTTGGATTGTTGGATTTTAAATCAGTAGAGGGTGACAACTAAAGTAATACTGTAACTAATTATTTTGAGGAGTAACTGTAATATCATTACTGAAATGTATTAGTAATTAATTACATTAAAAGTAATATTATTTCAGTCAGCCAACTCACTAACTGAAATCTTTATTAAAGCAGTATAGCATATTTAGATTTGGCATCTAGGCTCCAACCTCATCACCCCCGCAGATATGTTTACGTAGAGATATTGGGAGTGATCCGCAAATACTTAAAACCCCAGTCGGAGCCTACAGGTGGATGCTGGGGCGGTGGTGGGCTTACAGAGCACAGGCAGCAATACGAATGCAGGGCAACAGCAGCATGGACAGAGCAGAGGGAGAGCTGGGAAATTGTGCCAGTTTAAATAGAGCGCCAGATTGGAAGGGAGCGCTTGGTTAGTGATTATGGAGTGAGGCATGTCATGTGTGTATATCAGTGCAGCTCGAGTTGACTGACTGAACTAGCTCACAGGCTTCGCTCCATTACTGTACTGCCTAACACTGGTGCCAACATCAGTGCTCATTATAAGTGTTATATCTGTTTTCTCTGTTTTTTGTGTTGTTTTGCATGTTAATATATCAACATTGAATAACTTGCTGTTTATAAAAACACAACTCCTAAGCTCTCACTGTAAAACTGCAACAGCAACCTGTGTATGTTGCTCATGCTTCTCAAATCAGACTTTGACACCTGAAAGTATAAGGGGTCCCCCTCTAAGCTTCCAAAACAAGGGACAATTAAGATATTTTCAGTGATTTGTTTAAAGGGTATTTGTCCTTTTTGTACTTACATTTTTCATAGTCTTGATGGCCACTGTGTCGATGAAGTTAGCAGTGGAGAGGTCTATAATGATGGAGTGAATGTCCCAGGTCCACTTGCCCAGTGACCCGAGAGAGACCCGCTCCAGGTCGTGACTCAGAGTGTCCTCACTGCTGGAGCCCAGAGTGGTGGTGTCCCCATCGTGCAGCTCAGATATCCACCCTATGCTGGTGCAGTCTGGATCTCCTCCTTTCAGGTACTCCCATCTACAGTGGCCGTCTGGTGTTCGAGGAGTGGTTGGGATGACAAACACTGTCCCGTTTTCCCTCTCAGTCCATCCCTGCTCCTCCTTGTCTGTAACATCCCCATCCAAGCATGTGTCTCTCCAGCTGCCGGCCTCTTCCTCCACAGAGAACACCGGTGCTCCAGAATGCTGCTTAGCTGCCCTCCTCTGTGCCTGTCTCTGCAGAGTCGGAAGAAAAATAATTCAAACTTCTGTGAGGTATGTTGACTTGTCCTGTACAATGTGACAGCAGGGGCTCTTCAGTCATCTACTTACTGTAACTCACAGGATTTTGGTGCTAATTCTCTTAACACATAAATTATAAGGTGACTAATGGGCACCAACACCAAATAATCATTGTAGTCTTCGAAATGTTTTGTAAAATGTCTACAAACAATCCATGTTCCTGCAGTTATGTTATATATTTCCAGCACATTACCTCTCTCTTGGCTTGCCTTTTTGCTCGTCTCTCAGCCCTTCTTTCTCTACGTTTCTGTTTGGCCTCCTGCCTCCTCTTATAGATAATCATTTTACTGATGTCAAGCCCACTCTGGAAAACAGATAAAGAAAAAAATAACACATAGAAAGCTTGCATCTTATGAAAATATAATAAAAGGAAGAAAAACAAAAAATTAGGGCTTCGGTAAAAAAGAGAGAACAAAATTCTTTAAACTGAGAGATTTGTTTTGTCATATCTGATAATACAGTGAACATCTTTGGCTTTTCGACTGACGGTGTGATATAACAAGGAATATGAAGGCGCCACTTTGGAAATTATAATTATATATTTTTTACTATGTTCTGGCATTTTATATAAAAAGAAACATCAGATTACCCAATAATGAAAATAATAATTAGCAAGTAAGAGAACCAACCTTTTCTTTCAGAGCTTCAAGGTAGAGCTCAGCATTGGCAAAATACACTGTAGCAGAGGAGCGAAATATAGTAACACCTGGAATCTCTCTCGCCTGCCAAACAGGAATGAATCATTAGTTTTTTTGTAGCATGAGAAGAAAAGCTTGTATTTATGGCTTCTTGTCTTTCTATTTTACCTCTCTGTGTGTCTCTATATCCACATACAATTCTGTACCTGGAACATTTCCCAGAACTGAGTACGTTGGCCTGAATGGAATAAAAACGACAACATTATAATGTTTTTGTCTAATCTGGCAGATCCTAAACACACACACACACAGTATGACTCAGATACTGAAGTATACTATGATGAGGAGTCTTACAGCTGAGTTCTTAAGATAACAGTAAGCAGAGCAAAGGTGATTGATGCCGCCAGACCCAGATCCAGATTGAACAGCAGTGTTGACATCCAAGTAACCAACCATACCATCTGTGGGGGATACAACATGACATTACTCGTTCTGTAGAGTGACAATGAAAGATTAATGACACTGAACGCTACAGCACTAATTTAACCTCTCACCAGATCAATCTTGCTACTTTTCCACAGTGTGACAATGTCAGAGTACTGCTTGAACATGCCCTTCAGATTCACAAAGACAATCGCTGCAAGGACAGCCTAAACAAGCACACACACACATTTTAACATTATTTATCAGCCAAAAATGTTACATTACACAAAATACATTGTGTATCATAAATATTAATTGCAAATCACTTTACAGTAAATAGAAGTGGTAGAGCAGCAGGACCTTTGGCAGTTCCTGGAACAGGGGTCCAAGTTTCAGTATAGTTATCAACACAATTAGAGCTGAGGCCACTCCAGCCATCTGCAAGAACAACACAGTTTCTGGTTTTATTGAAATATTTGTGATCAACAGGCTTGTTAACATATTAGTTTGTTCAGCAGTCCATTGTTGGAGAATAGCTTGATTACATGTCAGCACATATTTCCAATATTTAGTGGTCCCCCTACAACTATTAAGTGTCTTAACTAGGTCATATATATTACATATTCACAGTACAAGTATTGCATGTCTACAGTACAAAGTGCCTTGTGAGGCAATGCTGACTTCTTAACTGTCTCTATTTATAATGTTGTCACTTCTGTTGCTCACTCACTTGTGTTTTTCCTCCAGTGGTCTCTTGGATGAGACTTCGAGACATGGATGGGCAGACAGAGTAGCACTGGAAGAAGCCTCCCACTGTATTACTGAGGCCCAGTGCCACCAGCTCCTGCAGCCGAGTGAAGGCAGAGACAAGAGAACAGAGAAATACTGAGAGAAAGGAATACAGAATGTGAAAATTATTTTGTACCAATGGTATATGCAGGATTAAAAATTAAGGCATTTGATATGAGTTCTGGTTTACCTGGTTACTGTCCACCTTGTATCCATGTTTCAGTGCAAATGTTTTCCCCAGTGAAATAGATATAGCATATCCAACAATGGCTAATGCAAAAGCATCACCAATAACTTTTCCAAAAAGACTCACATCTGGAACACTGGGAGAACGCAGACTGGTGCAAAGGTAAAGGACAAGAAGTGATGAGAAACAATGTGTTTGTACTATACAAGCTGGGAGTATAACTCAACAAATAATAAAATCAAAATGCTTACCCACTAGGAATTTCTCCAACAACTGAAATAGTAAAGTTGCTGTTCAAATGGCCATAGGATGATATCAATGTTCCTGCCACAATCTAAAGCGTCACAGAAAACATACAGATCGTAAACACACACACACACACAAAGAAGACACATTTTGCAATACAAACAAACTTTCAATCATTAAAAATCTGGTAAATCATATGCTAGATGTGAGCTTTATTATTAGCCACAAATATCTCCTTTTTGCTGTGAACTGCACAAATGCAGAGGCACTGCCACTACTGCTGACTCAGCAGCTTGGTTCCACTGTGTCTGTGCTTTTTTTTTTTTGTGCTGCAACATCAGCAGCAGCACAGAGCGCAGAGGTAAAAACATGAAAGAGGCCAGAGAGTGTGTCCTCGTGTCAACTGACTGTGATGAGCTCCACTGGGATAGGCACTGGCAGCTTTGGACTGAGAAAAGAGTTGAGCTCCTTGGCTGCAATTAGAAACACAATGGACACAGCGCTGGCCACCAGTGTGGGAAGATGAGTGTGTGGCAACAAGGAGCAAACATCCTTCAGAGTCTGAAAATGTAAAGTAGGAGGTGGTTAAGGCTTACTGCATAAAAAACAAGCTGCACCCTAGCCCTTAGCTTTTATGTCATAATTTAATAAGAAATGACATCTCCCCCTTGTCCACACATTCTGCAAGCTATATTGTAGACACATCTTACAATAAATACCCCAAATGATAATAAAAAAATAATTAATTTTGTTTTCCATCAAAGGTAAACTTGGTAACTTGGTAAACTTCCTGTTTACCTTTGTAAAATGTCTTCTCCTGTTTCTAACAGCTATCAAACCAGATCAGCTAGATGGATAATATTTAGTGTCCCTAAAGTCTGCTCAGAACTTCAAAGACTTGAAATATTTTTGTACTATGCATCCTTGGCTTGGAGTAATTTACAAGATAAACTTGATCTGCAAATGTTGCCTTCATATATGACATTCAAGCATAACATAAAACATTTAAATACATGTTATCTTCATCATTTCTCTAATGTTGCTTTGTTTTCTTGTGCTATACAGTGAGTGATTATTTTAAATATTTATGTTTGTTTTTATGTAACTATGATATCTTATGCTGTAAAGAGATAACGTATGTCAAGAGACTTCCGAGTTAAATAAAGGTTAAATAAAAATGATGAGGAATGCACATTAAACTCTTTTGTGGGTGTTTAAGGTTTATCTGTGTGCTGTAACAGTCTGTACAATAATGCAATCAAATCAGTACTGTTGTATTAACAAAAACACAACCAAATAATTGACAGTACTTACATACACCAGCGACAAGGAACCGTTAAACCGTGTTGGTGAAACTCCAAAGATGTACTTCAGTTGTGCCACCACAGCATGGGCTGCAGCAGCTGTTGTGTAAGCCCGCACCAGAGGTTCAGACAAGTACGTTCCCACAAATCCAAACTTTACCAAGCCCAGTACCACCTATACAAACAATGATTTATGTATATATGAGTTTTGGTTGTTAAAACAAAAGAAGATATTGTTATTTCTGTGGGATGTTGTGTTCAGACCTGAATAAGTCCTCCTAGGACAGTAGTAGCAGCCGCCACCTGCACTCTGTATGAGTCCCGGGCTGTTATGTCTAACTCTCCAGTGATGTTGGTCCCGTTTCTTTTCAGGAAATACGCGTCTGGAGCAAGTCTCTCTGTCACACTACCCACCATGATGCTGAGCACGGTAAATGTACCTGAACACAATAAAAGCACACATGATATTAGAGGTCATAATGGCCATAGTACTATAATAACACTCTCTCTACCTACCGATGGAGATATGACGTGATGTTCCAAAAAAGATGTAGATCAACGCTGGGTAGAGGGATGTGTAGAGCCCAAATACTGGAGGTAACGAAGCCAACAATGCATATGCCATACCTATGGGAAAAAAAATATGTTTTATCACACCTGTCTCAGTTTACAAATAATAAATATTTGTATGAAGCTGTTCTAGTTTTTACAGTAGTATTACTGGCAAATATTCTGTAAAAGCATATATTTGTGGATTATTTGTGTTTGATTATGGAATAAATTATACATTTATTATATGTTTTTGTCATACATCCTCATGATTGAGAATTTCACTTTGAGACATAAAACCATGTGAGTTTTTTCAGCCGTTGCTGTCATACCTTGTGGTAGGTGCATTATGCCCACACTGATGCCAGAGATGAGGTCTGGCATGCCATAGTCCCAGACTGAGTACTTGGGCAGCCAGTATAACACAGGCAAGCTGCTCATCACACTTCGTTTCAGTTTGGGTATTGTACATCTGGAGGGGATTTGAAGGATACACAAAGACAAAACTGAATCATCTTTTTTATTGGATAAATTCCTGAAAGTAGGTGTCTGGTCATGTTTGAAAAGAAGTCCAGACCATACATCTACATCAACAGTACAGTAGGCGTCAAAGTTACAAGATCAAGTCGTAAAACTTGCCTCACCTTAAGGAGTCTTTGAGCCGTTCAGTTAGAGAAGGGTGAGTGTCAGCATAAGTTTTTCTCTGCGTTACCTCTTCCAGTCTCTGCTCATCCAGCACTTCCCGCTCCACTCTGTATTTCCCAAACTTTCGTGTAGAGTCCATTGGGCTCAATCTCTTAAAATCTGTGCAACTTAATTTTCTTTACTCTTTAAATGTCAACCAACCAAACTATCTACGAAATGCCAATGTACTACTGTCACAAGGACGAGTGTATATGTACATCATATTGCCTAATGGTTAACTAGAGTCAGGATGTTGTGGGCTGAGCCTCTTCATGACAAAGAGGAAGACCGGAAGAAGTAAAGGATGTAATTAATAATTACGGTCTTGTGATAGATGAATGGAATAGGAATTTGATTCATCACACTGGGTTCGTAATTCTTCAGAGAACTAGCAACTCTCAATATTATGGAAGAATTTCCCCTACAGTCTGAATAAGTTAACTCTGTTAAATTTCAATGGATGTTTGACCCGTGTGTTTCCATTCTTCAAGTTTTTCCATTCCCTTGCAAAAGTAGAGCTAATGAACCATGAAATGTCACCTTAAGCTCAAATTACATTGGTTAAATGAGTCTTTACAAGGGCTACTTCTGAACAAAATACTCAAAATATCTAAGTTGTATAAGTGGTTTCTATTAAAAATTGCCAAGTGGTCAGTTAATATCCAACACAATGCTTGCAGGTCAGAAAGTAAATACATTTATTCTATGACCTACATTATGATTGGTGCAACAGTCTTGAGAATTCTGAGGTCCAATTTTTGACACACGTGGGCCTAAAGTTCACTGGGCCTTTAAGAGAGTGCCGTCATGAAATCTGAAGCTGAGAGCAATATTTCATTTCAGTCATTCCAGAGCTGCATACACGTGACTGAGGCAAACAAACTGGAACAGAGAATTACCCCAAAGAAAGTACAACATAAATCCAATGAGTCAAATTAGGAAGGTCAATAATATAATTCACAATATTTGTCGCTGTCATGGCTTAAAAACTTGCTCTCTTGGTCACACAAACCCCTCTGACCCACTTGCTGTGTGCCACAACACTGTCTATTTTTGGGTTTGGAGCTCAGAGGGCCACAGCAGTGGAGGGGGTACATATCTTTGTGTCTTGCAATTGCTCAGACCCTCTCTAACCCCCCTGACTGACACATTCGGCAACATCAACAGCACATGTATGATGAAAAACATGGACATTTACTGGACTTTTTAGACCAAAGATAGCAGCAGACAATAAGATCTGATGACTTTGGTAAGGATTGTACATAGGAACTGAATCCAGCATGTTTCGGACAGCTGTAGTGCTAACTTAAGAGAGCGCAGATGATGGTGGTATTATGCTAGTATTTGTTGTATCTAAAACTAATTAGAAAAAAAATATGTGTATTAAATTTAAATTAGAAAGATCAATGTTTAAGTATGATGTTATGAAATATCCTTACAGGGTTTTCATTCCTTATAACATCATAAGGATGTGGTTTTGCAAATAATGTTTAATGTCCAATGCTTATCTACAATTTCATCATGAGGACAGCTGGAATTAACATAAAATCCAGAATTGATCTGACTAAGAATTTTTACATTTGTTTCTGTTTTTTTCTTTGATTTTCAGAGACAACCTCCTGAGTAGTTTTTCGGGGTGGATAAAACTTCCTGTGTAACTTTGTAAATATTATTGTCGCTAAAAAGTTGACGCAAAATGGATCTTACAGCCAAACACGGGCTGGTGTTGCTCGACCAGCTGAGGAAGATGAGGGAGACGGAGCATCTGACAGATGTGGTGCTGATTGCTGAAGGCATCAGCTTTCCCTGTCACCGGGTGGTTCTAGCCGCCTTTAGCCCGTACTTTCGCGTTATGTTCACCTGTGGCCTGCGCGAGTGCAACAACAGAGAAATAATCCTGCGTGATACCTCTGCAGACAGTCTGGCCCTCCTCTTGAACTACATGTACTGCTCAGATCTCCCTCTCACTAACGCCAATGTCCAAGGCATCTCTATTGCAGCTTTTCTCCTGCAGATGGATGACGTATTCAATCGCTGCCAGCTGCACATGACCGAGAACATGGATGCCTCCAATTGCCTTGGCGTGTATTACTTTGCCCGTGACCTCGGTGCAGAAGACCTAGCTGACCACGCTCAGCGGTTCCTAAGGCAGCACTTTGTCCAGGTCTGCCAAAACGAGGAGGTCCTGGAGCTGGAGGCCCATCAGCTGGGGAAGCTCCTGACTTCTGATGACCTTAATATTTCACGAGAGGAGACCATCCTGGACATAGTCCTTTGCTGGGTCAAACACAGCACTCTGATAGATAGAGAGGTCCGTTTCCTGCACCTTCCAGAGCTCCTGAGGAAGGTCCGTCTGCCACTGATAAACCCTGACTATTTAAGAGAGACGATAAAGAGGAACACGGCCCTGCTTTCTGATGCTGAATGTCTAGAGATGCTCAATGAGGCCTTGGATGCCACAGCAATGCATCCCTCAGCTGCACCACGCAAACTAAAGCTGCGGTACGGCATGGAGACCACAGATCTGCTGCTTTGTATCGGCAACGACAGTAGTGGGATTAGGTCAAGATATGGAAGCTATGCTGAGCGCAGTTTTTGCTATGCCCCATCCACAAGCCGAACCTACTACATCACCTCACCTCGCTATGGAGAGGCTCTGGGGTACGTGTGTACCGGGGTTGTAACTGACGGAAATGACATTATAGTGGCAGGAGAGGCAAGTGCACGCAGAATGGCCCGACAGAAGGACATGAATGTTGAGGTTTTCAGGTAAGAAAGACAGTAGGTGACACATTTGACAACTCTGAAATGGCTCGCCCCACACAGATGGTACTGATTGTTATGTTGGGTTACCAGGTACAAAGTAGAGGCCCAAGGAAGCTGGGAGCGCCTGACGTCAGCAGAGTACCGTGATTCATACGCTCTGGGATCACTGGGTGACACTCTGTACCTGCTGGGTGGGCAGATGAAGCTGAAGAACCAGTTTCTCATTACTAACTGTGTGGAGCGATGGTCTCTGCAAGGCGGACCCTGGCGCAGTGCAGCACCCCTGCCTCTGCCTTTGGCCTATCACAGCGTGGTCAGAATGAAAGATCGCCTTTATGTGATGGGTGGTCGAACCCCACAGGTGATCAATTAGTCAGAACCTGCATTCAATTTGGTTCACTCTTCACTGACACATTTAGTATGAGCTCTGTATCTGTATCTGACTGCACCTGCTCTGCTTTGTCTTTACTTCCCTCCACTTCAACCATCCAGTCATACCGGATGGATGATGAGCCTGACCGTCTTAGTAACCGCCTCCTGGAGTATAATCCAGAAACAAATAAGTGGACAGAGTTAGGTCCCATGAAGTACTCAAAGTACCGCTGCAGTGCTGTTGAACTCAATGGAGAAATCTTCGTGATGGGTAAGCTTATTTGTATAAGTTGTTACGCATGAATTGAATTGCATTGATTTCTGTGAGAAATACACAACAACACTATTTGTAACTATTTGTAACCTATTTTGCAGGCGGTATTGGATGTGAGGGTATGGATCGTGGGCAGTCACGTCACTGCCTCAATGTGGTGGAGATCTACAACCCAGATGGAGATTACTGGAGGGATGGACCACCTCTCCCATGTGCACAACTCTCACTGCGCACCACTGCCCCCAATGCAGGAGTTGTGGGGGGCAAGATTTATGTGTGTGGATACTACAAAGGAGCAGGTAATGACAAAATATCCATATCCTGTGAATAAAAAGTGTTTGAGAGATGTTTTCAAGTGACTGTATCACTCTTTTCTATTTCTTCTCTACCCTTAGATCGTCATGATGACATAACAAAGGACATTTTGGAGCTAGACCCCTGGGACAACCGGTGGACAGTGGTTGCTCGGCAAGCTCTGATGCATGACAACTATGATGTTTGCTTAGTGGCAAATCTCAACCCAAGGGGACTCATGTCCCCACCTGCAGACTTAGTTAAAATGTGACACCCGTCAGATCAGATCAAAGTCTCTTTTGAAGAAATAGGGATGGTTAATCAATTATTAATTATTAATGCACTTATTGCTGGGCCAAAGGCATTCATTTTTTCAAGCGGAAAAGGTCTTAGTGCCACGCTGCATGAATGAGTATCTGCGGTTTATGATTTGCACGTTAGAATGAGAACAGACAGATAAATTGTAAATACAGTTTTTTTTGTTTTTTTTTTAAATTGTATCTGCAGAGAATGATCATCTGAAACCTGCAGCTCTGTGGCACATAGCATTATCAGCAAACCAGGAAATGATGTCCTTTGAGATTACACTGACAAAAATTATAGTTATAATTAGGGCTGTAACCTTTAGTAACGTTTAGTCTACAAAACTATTAAAAAATGTGCATTTGCAAATTCTCAGAGGCCACAGTGAAGTCTTAAGTTTGTTTGTTCGAAACAAAGTCCAAAACCTTAAGATATTTAATTTATGGTCATATAGGACAAGAAAAGCACACTGGAGAAGCGCAAACTAGGAAATGTTTTGCAAAAGGACTGAAATGATTAACTGACCATCAAAATAGTTTAATTTTCTGTAAGTCGATTTAATCGTTGCAGCTCTAGTTATAATTATGGACTTTGATAAAAAAAACTGGCTTTGATACTAATTATATCAAAATGATGGTAAAGTATTTGGTCTGTTTTTACAGGATACATTATTTAGTACATATACAGTATAAAAAGTGAATATTTTATATTGTATTAATTTGTTTTCTTTGCTACGCTTCCTGAAACAGAATGAAACTGGTTTTTGCTAATAAAAATGCGCCTTGGCAATAGTATGGAGCAGTTGTTGTCACTCAATTCTTTTCAATGTAGATAATGTAAATCCTACCTTAATGGTTATAAAGTTCAGTTTTGTTTAAACTGTTTTCGAAATGAGTTAAATCAGGTTCATAGTCACTATCAAAATATAACTGGGGATATAAAATAAATATAAAATTAAATGAAAAAATCAACATTGGTGACATATATGGGAGGTGACATGAAGAGGAAACTGCAATGGCTGCCTGTCAAGTTACTATTACTTAGTATTATTACATTACAATGTACTATTACTACATTACTATGTACTTTTACTACATTACTATGTACTGTACCTTTAATTTTTTTAGGATCAGAATTCAAACATGGGTCAATTATACAGCAGATAAATTTGGTTCCCAATGATTATTCAGGAGAATTGTGATTTGTTTGCAAAGCCTCAGTTTATTTTCAGTGTCAAGTCAGTAGTATAAATACAGATAAGTTAATTTTAAAAAAGGCAGCAGAGAAACTTACAATATTTTTATGTCAGCAGAAAACAAGATGACAAGCTTGAAACGTGTAATGCTTTGTGGGTCACTCTATCCTTAACTTAGGTCAACTAGTACCTTTGTACACCCCTCCACAGCTCTTCCACCATAACCTTAAGACAAAAACATGTCAGTGTGTTCATTCTACCGAAAACTGAACAACTCTACAACTAATAATAAGTATAATAAACATGTTTGGCTTTTATTCCCCTGTACTCCAAAAATAAGAACACAAATGCTTCACTGTCCTTTCCTCATCCTCTAAAGACCTAAGTCAGAATCCATTTCAAACAACTGCCAGAAGCCTTCCTGTTTCACTTGGGTCCCTGTCTTGGACTCAGAGAGCTTCTCTAAGATGGGTTCGATTCCTGAGAGGCACACAGAGCTGTTGCTGTCCTGAGACCAGCAGCTGAAAGGGGTGATGAAACATCCTGCAGCTATGGATCTCATCTCTCTTTTCGGCAATACTAGACAGTCTGGACTTCGACTGTCCTGACTGGCTACCACGTTCGGATCACGCCGCTCACCGAGAGGTGATGAAACATTTTGTTGTTTGTTACAGTGCACGAGAGGTTGACTGTTCTCATCAGTGTCAGTGCGCATTCTCCTCTGTGAGAGCACCAGTGGCCTCTTTTTGCGCCTCCTATTGCCTTTCAGAGTGGATTTCCTCTTGCCTGTGATGCAGCTGGGATTCTGAGGGGGAACTTTAGCCTGGCTGTGTTCAGTGTTGTATGACATACATGTCAGCTGTGTGCCTTCAAGCTTGTTGTCCTGCACAATGTCGGAGAATGGCTGTTCCAGTCTTGGTGACGTCTGGATGGCACTGTCCATCACTCTTTTAGGGCTGGTTTTGGTTGAGACTAAGGTGCTGAGCAGCTTCAGAGCCTCTTCGAGCATGTTTCTTTCTCTGTCCTGCTCCTCTCTCAGACACTCCAGACTATTCTTCAAGCTTTGCAGATTTGAACCAAGTTCTGGAGAGGCAGTTCCACTCTAAATTATAAAAAAAAAAACAGTTATACTTATTATTAAAACATCAGCCACCAAAATCTACTTTCACCTCATTGAACTACACACTATTCACCTTTTTCATCCTCTCCTCCAGTTCAGTCATCATCCCTGTCTGGGAGTTCACTTTATTCAGCAAAGTCTCAAACTGCTGGGAAATGTCACTCTGAAGACTTTTAAGATTATTTTGCACTGCATGAATGAATAAGTTGAATAGAAATAGAAAAGAGACACATTAAACACACATTAAAAACAATCAAGTCAATAAAACCAAAACTGTAAGGATCCATATAGTATATATCTAATTTTCCAGTTAGAGATTATGAGTCACCAATGTTGAATCATTGGGCAAAGAGCACCATCTATTGGTGATAAGAAATGTGTGCTCACTGCCTTTGTATGCATAGAGCAACTCTAAGTTCAATAATTTTAACAATAAAAATACATACATCAATCAATCAGGAAACTTACATGTTGACTCAAAGTTGTCAAATTTTTCAAGAACTGTTTGGCACACAGTTGTATTTTTCTCTGTGCCAGCGACCAGTTGTTGGATCTGAAAGAAGCATCGCAGCATTTTTTAACATTTTACATCCACATAAGAGGAGCTGTATAAAAGAAGAAGCAACAGTCACTTACATTGTTGAGAGTTTCTCGAAAATTATGACATTCTTTGGCTAAAATGTCACTGTTAAAGCAAAAGGACACATAGGACAGAGGTAAAAATAAATGATAAAGTCGAGGCAAGTTGCATGTTTCAAGCGGTATAGAGAAGTACCTGTCAGTTTTTTCTTTTGCCCTTTTCTTGTCCTCTTCAAATTTATCCAGAATTCCAAAAGCTTTGTTTTTGTCCTTTAATTCTCCAAACAGGAGAGGTTTAGTGTGATAACTGTTTGAAAACTTTGGGTCACTTCCCTAAATAATAAGGAAATACTGAGGTTATGGGATATAGACACAAGAGAGAACTTTTCACATGATCTGAGTGATGATTGAAATAAAACTGTGTGCACTCGTGGTCCTATAAGTTGGGTTTTTCATATGTTATCAACCAAAAGGAAAACATTTCACGCAGAGAAACAGGTGGCCTCGTGATTCCAATATAGCAAAACATACATTTCTATCCTTTGTATACATTTACATTACTGAACAAAACAAAACCTACAAACATCTCAAGTTTTGTGGTTGAAATGGCAGTTTTTTATTTCGTCTATCTAGATCTTCATAAATTTAAGAGGACACTCTTCATGAACATGTAATGTTCACTACATACTATATTGATGTATAAAGTTACTAAAGAAACCAAAGCACAAAGGTGGTAGCTCTATAAATAGCATCACTGTATGTTACAGTGTATACAGTATACAGCTGTATAGTATTGTAATCATGTAAGTTATAATGCCATTAAACCTCTGGGGTTACTTATTTATTTGTCTATTTATGGTATTACTATTATTATTATTTATCTGTTTTATCCCCTTTTTCTATTAATACATTTGAATCCTTTTCCTTTTTGTATTTTATTTTGGGTAGTTATACATCTTAATCTGCTTTAATGTGTGAAGCACTTATGTGTTACATTTTGCTTGTAGCAAAAGTGCTATACAAATAAAGTCTGATTGATTGATTAGTGATTGATTGATTGATAAGATAATGTTGATAAATCTCACCTCCTGTGAACTCTGTTGGGACAGGGAGGTCCTGGATGACACACTCATATCTTGAGACGCTCCCTGAGAATTTTCAGGCCAAAATTGAGACCCAAAGAAAAGCTGAGAGTCTGTGAAACTGGAGTAGCCGCTGGTGGACACATTCCTTGTGGGTTTGTTTTTGTCCCCACAAGGTTTGACGAGTAAAGAAAACATAGACACACATTTGTTTTGTGCAGCAAAACAGATTAAATGAATGTAGAAATCAGATTTTTAAAACAGTGCTCCACAAATGTAGGTCTTGGTGATGAGTTATTCATTTAAAAAAACACACTGACCACAGCCTCATATGGCATTACTCACAGTTAGAGAGAAGTGGCAGCTAAAAGGAGTTATTGTTATGTAACAAACTTTATCTAACCTTCCAGTCGGGATGCTCAGCATTTCTTTTATGCTCCTTATATGATTCATTGCGTCCAGTTACCTGTTTGTAAAGATAACAAGTTAGTAGCATTGTATGTTTTCTTCATCAACTCAGCTAGCGTTAGTTAGCATTAATGCTAATCTAGAAAGAGCTTCGTTAGCGAATTTAAACGAACACTGAGTCAATTTTAACTTAAAACGCCATTAACTGTTTAGCTTTAACATCTTATTATACATTTACCAAGGGTTGGTCGTGTACGATGGTTGTCGTAAATTAAAATAGTTTTAAACTGACTCACAGTTGATAGTGTGTAAGCTCGCGAGTATTTAAATCTCCCGCCATGTGATCTGCAGTGCTGCGTTCAGGTGCCAACAATACGTCCAGCAACAACACTGTAAGGCTTTTATTGTTTTAGTTATTTAATGTGTATTCATCTTATCTTATTTACTTCATTAATGGGTTCTTAAACATGTTTTAATTAATGAATCAGTTTGTCATCACTGGATGCATTGTTGACATTCTGTGGGGATTTTATTGTCCACATTGGGGAAATTTGCTTTATCACATAGATAAAAACACATAACATTACATAAATGTACGCTAATTATGTCCCCAAAACCCCAGATTCACTTTGTGTGAACTGTGTGTGTGTTTGTTTTTGTAATTAATTGTAAACATGTTTGTTTGTTTGTGCAGCTTAAATACAATTTCAACTAAGGAAAGTCTTAGCTGATTTTTGTGGCTGTGTCTTGCAAAATTCTTGTTAGAAGAGCATCATTTGTTTACTCACATGATGCACATTCCTAATATAGTTGTGTTTAATTAAACACCATTTTGTATTCTAACATAATAGTACATAGTAGTACAGGTTGTAAATGGAGACAACAGGACACATACACATTGCACACATGCATAGATGTGATGTCAGCTTCAACTTCAGATTTTTGCCCCCCAACAGGTTAATCCAGCCATGCTAATTGTGGGCCCAGGTATTGTGATTTCTAAAGCACAGGTGAAAGTAATATTGTTAATTAATGGATGCATTACATTCAGGTTCAGTGACACTACTGCACATTGTGCATGCTGGGAAATGTAATGGAGCCATGTTTTTTGTTATCAGTGACACTTAAATGTATATTGTGAGAAATTATTAATAATTAGTATTATTTATTATCTAATTGGCTACCTATACAGTACTCTATGTTTTACTGTCATGAAAGGAAAATAGATCTGAATATAAGTATTAGCCAGCACTTCATCAGTTAGCCAAGCCAGCTAAAGAAAAGTTACAATTTCAGCAACAATTAGCTTTAATTTTGGTATCTGAAAAATGTTGTTACATTAATTTAAAAAAACATTGATATTCAATGTTTATTTGATTTAATTTAGCAGTATTGTAATTGTGCTTTAGTGGACGAGGTTTTCATTATTAATAAATGTTCCTTAGTGGGAGAAACGTTTACGCCATAATTCACCCTTTTTGTTTCATTGTTATGCTTTTATTTCTTTAATTATTTATCATTTATCATTTACTATTATTACTACTACACTTAATATTGAGTTGTGGTGCTAGTAGTAGCAGAGCACGTATCCTGGCCTTAATTTTGTATGTATGTAAATGTTTTCTACACCGACAAAAATAAAGCACAAATAAAAACAATCAGGGTTTTATTTTGAAAAATACAAATGAAGCACAAAAACAGTTCGGGTTTTAATTTGAAAATCGCGCCCGGAAGTGTGAACCCTAAATGAAAGCAGGTATCTGTGAGCTGCGCACTGTGGGATTATCTGTGGATGAACTGCAGCGCTGTGTTGATGACAAAGCTGCCACAAACATAAGTGACTGTCCGGTAAACAGCACACCTCCGGAGTGTGTCACACCAGAGCCTAGTGCTCCGCTGGTGAGTTAACTTTGTTTGTCTCCATATCCAGCGATGTGCAGCTGTTCTGCCTGTGATTGTAAACACACCCGATCATATAAAACAGATTTAAAAACAGATGATGTAGCGTTGACATCGCTGTGTGTTAGCTCGGGCTGCTAGCACACATAACTTCATCCCAGTGACAGGTGCTAGCTAGCTGAAACCCCTCGGTGCTGTCTCCTTGTGGAAGTCATCTGACGGTAGCACACTTCATGACTGGGAGACGATAGCTTTACGCTTTAAATACTTACTGCACATTGGAGCATTTAGGTGTAAAAGTTAAGTTTTAACCTAAAGACAGAGAGAAAAGTGTATGTGACGTGTGTTGGAGACTCCCCCCCCCTCATGAATATTTAAACTCTTGTGGTTGTGGGTGACTCATTTGTTTGGTCTTTTAATCTAACCGCAACCAAAACGTGATTGGCATGATTTAACACATGTACTGTGATATCAGTTTAATCAAAGCAGTTACTTTATAAGAGACACATTTAGACATTCACCTATAAGTCCTTATGTTGTAGACTTTGTTCATATATAGAGTCAATTAAGTAAAAAATTCACAAGTGAGGGCCTTGCGAGACAAAACTTATTAAATGGTTTGGTTATGGTTTTAATGTGTTTCTTGTACCAGTGCACAATCTGCAAGATGGACGCCCATGTTGAGAAGTTAAATATGTCTTTTCACTGAACTCATGATGATGTAATATTTGTCGGGGTCTGTACCAAACAAACATGTTTCCTTAAACCTGGAGAACAGGATGTGTAGTTATGTTGTAGGCCATCTCTTCAGAGCTACAGTATTTCATTATAATGCTGTTTGTCACACATTTTACCTTTTTTATCAAACAATTGCAGCTTCTGAGATTTGGATATTGCATTTGACCATATTGTGATTATGTGCAGCCCTGCTCACAAAGATTGTGATTTAAATCACTGAAGTGTGTGATTAAAGAATAAGTTAACAAGCTTCACACCCAGCCCTTCTTATTAAAGCCTGATCAAAGACCTGAACCTTATTTGACATTTATCGACCTAGTCATAGTATTTAGTTTGATCTTTCTTCTTTGCTGTAGGACTAAATGTGTAAAGGTATTTGTCCTCCAACTGATGCGTCTCTAATTCTTGTCTCTTTGCTCTTTTAAGGGTTCGAATATGGCTCTGTCATTTCTTTTGGTCTTGGCTGCAACTGTGATTCTTATCAGACCCGAGACGCCTGTAACTAAGGTAGAAAACGGATGGATGTGAAAGTTGATGCCAAAGGGCCAACGTGTGCTTGGTTCGGGTTACACCGATGTATTAATCTGTGAATACTGTTCTGTCTGTAGGCCCTACATCAGAACTCACTGGAGTGCTGCGGAGAAAAGCAGAGAGTGAACAATTCATGTTCAAATGACACTCACTGTGAACCAGGTAATGTGGATATACAGGATGTCACAAAGAATTATGACCTTTCAATGTCACTATTATTTTATCAGTTAGAAAGGGGCTTGAGTGAAATTATGCTCTGGCAGTAATCTGTGTATTTCATATAGTTAATCAAAATACATGTCCGGATTTATTATATTAGTCTTATGCACACAAGATAATCATTTCACTTCTGATGATATCTGGTGTGAGAACAGTCTAACATTTGATTTCCAAAGGATAAAGAGCCCTATAAAGCCTCCTCCTATAAAGACTCCTAACAGTTAATAAGAGTTTCATTGCCGTACTTAAATAAAACTATGACTGTGTTGTTGGAATTTTAGAGCGATCAAGGACACAGTGAAAGGATGTCTTACTGTTATCCTTGACTATGTGCAAAACAGGAAAACATGCGGTGGCCCTGAGAGCTCACTGCACTGTAACACATGCAAATAGACAAAACACAAGCAAATCAAGGATGTGCAGCATTTAGAAAAAACTCCTCTGCAAACAGAAAATACACAAACAGTTACAGACACGCTGCAAGTAAAAAATGGTAAAATAAATGGTTGGGAGACGCTTGCTGTCCTACTGAAAAAACACATAATGAGTTGAGTCAAAAACTAATTTAAAAAAAAATATATATTTTCAGATGGAAAACTTAAAAATCTTGATTAGTTTGGCAAATGTTTCTATGTCTTCATTATAATAAATACAATATATAAAGCAGTATAATTATTTCCTGTTCACTTCTCTCTTGTGACTATTAAATTGGAGGGTGGAATTAATACTTTTGTTATTACTATAAGAACATTAAACTGCAATTTGAAATATATTTTCTTTTGAATTCTTCAGGATGCTTCTTGCGTTTCCTTGAGAACAGCAACACTGTTTGCATATTCTGTGACTCAGCAGCTGTGGATTTGGAGAACATAACAGTCTGCACCTACAGTAAGGACTGTCTACTGACTGATACATACAAATGTTACATTGCATAATGTTTGTTTTTTCTAATTTGCCCTTTCTGTGTGCTCACTAGATTATACAATGGAGAGGAAAAATCACACCACTGTAACTACTGTCATTCCTAAAATTGGTAAGACATCACATCCACAGTCACTATGGACACATTTACTAATTGTTTTATTCTTGGGTTAGACTGTAATGTGTCTGTGAGTTTAGAATATTAGTGTGGGAAAACCTGTCAATTCAGTTTCAAGAAAAAGTCTTTTTTCAAGTGAATCAGTCAACCAGCTTTACGGCGTACTTGAGCAGCCGGTTTCTCATCACGTTCCCTGTTGTGTGCTGTGTTTTTGAGCAGGAGGGCCAGGTGTGGCAGCCTCTCTGCTTCTGGGAACACTGTTGATAAGCTTGTTCCTGATCCTCTCCGTTGCCTCCTTTTTCTACCTCAAACGCTCCAACCGACTCCCAAACATCTTCTACCGCCGCAACAAAGGTACACACTGCACAGCTCTGTAATTATACAAGCAGGGTTTTGTTGGACCTGAATTATGAAGCTTCGCGGCTCCAGTCGACCCACCACACCCACTAAATCCTCCTTAATAGAGCCTGGAAGTGCTTGAACACAGAAAACACAATATTTTTGCTACGCTTAAGTGATATTATTTGATTTTTGGTCGGTTAAACTCAAATGTAACAATATTGTGTGTGTTTTTACAGCCTTCATATTCCAACCAAGTGAGACAGTAAGTAAATTGTATTGTTTGTTTAATAGTTAACCTACAGAACACTGGGAGAGACTGTGTTTATTGCAGCCTCAGCAATGTTCCCCTGTAGAACAAAGGGGTATTATAATCTCTGTTTTCTTTTCCCTTCTAGGCTGTCATGATCCCTTCCTCGTCAGGTAACGACTACACTGTCCTTCTCTGTAAATTACCTGACCTTGCTCAACAGGTTGTAGTATATGTGAAGCTACTGAGTAATGCAAAACAGTCAAAAATACTTGGAAATGCTGTTGAGGAGTGTTCCCGTATTTGAGCAATGACAGGCTGTTCTTAAAAGCACAAAACTAAATGCTAAACGTTAGCTCCAAAATGCTATGAACAATCCCAGCGCATGTCTCCTCTTGTTTTTCTCACAGGTTTTGTTTTGTGTTTCTTTTGAAGTGAGGAAGCCAAGATATGTCAGAAGGGAGCGGCCCTCCGCAACTTCAACAGGGAACAGTGCCACCGTACCCACCACAACCACCACTCAAGTCTATAATGTGTAGGAGGAGGGATGGGAGTGCTGGTGCAGGTAGGAGAGAACGCTCAGGAAAGATTTTCTTATCGTGTGAAGGTTCAGCATTGTGAAGAAAGATCAACTCGTACTAAAGTAAAGGAACATGTAACTGTTGCTGCTTTTGCTGCATTCTTGTCACTAGGGCTGTAACTTTTCAAGAGTGTGGTATTGAAAAAAGTTATCAGTATCCAGTGTCTAACCTGTCGATCCTCTCCACACAGTCTCTGACGTTCTTTGTGAATTTAAGGTCAGGTTGTTGGTTCCTCCCACTCATGCAGCATTTCAGTGTCACTCCTTTTGTTTTTTAGTCTAAACACTGTTATTTGTTTTCCTCTGCTCTTTGGGAGTGTTTGTTCTGGTAACCTGCAAAGCTAAAGTCTATAATATACCTGTCCATAAAAGAATAGTTTGACATTTAGGGAAATATACTTATTCGCTCATGTTACACCTTGTATCTGTTTTAATCTGTATAAACACACACTATCTTGGCGAATTATCTTGTTTTGGTTTTTGTACGGATTAAACAAACAAGATATAACGCCATGATTAGTGAGCTTTAGAGGTGCTGGTGGATGACCTTTGTTACCTTTGGACAGAGCCCTGTTTCCAGCCTTCATGCTAAGCTAAGCTAACCGGCTGCTGGCTGTAGCAATATTTGTAACAGATTTGCGTATCGGTTGTCTCATCTAACACACTGCAAGAAAGCTCATTGGTGTATTTCCCAAATTGTCAAACTGTTCCTTTTTAAAGCAAAGATGAATGGAGCCAGTGTTTTGGGACAAAGTGACAGTCCAGTGACATTATATGGAACATGTCCAAATCTCCATGTTTTTTTAAGTTTGCTAATCAGGATGTTTTTGTTTTTTTTACATGTGTGATCTTTATTTGTATTTCTAAATGTGCACTGAGTTTAACTGATTACAGTCAGACCAACAGAATAAATGATGTGTCTAATAGCCAGTAGGCAGTTTTAGAATGACTGACTAAAATACATCCCCCTTGTTAACCAGCCATACCCCGTACTAACAGGTGGACTGTGGTCTGGGTCCGGACCCAGGCGCTGTCCTATTCTTACCAGGACCTATAATTGATTTAAATGCCCCAGTTTTTATAGCCTTTAACAGCACTGGTTTAGCTGACCAATTGCATTCGTTATAAATCACTTCACGTTAATCTACTCAGCCAATCAAATCTGTGCGTTCACATGCCGTGCAGAGAAAAGTTTGAGAAAGTTTCCTCAAACAAACATCAGGAACATCATAATGCCTAACATGCATAAACTCATTGATGGTTTATCTGACTGAGGTCCCAACCATGGCTTTGAAATATCAGTAGCCTAACAAATGACAAATCCATGGTGCTGTCCATGGTGTTGGAGCAGACGGATTTGTAATAGCACCTTTTTCTCCGAGTCCCGCCCTTCTGTTAGTTTCTTATAGCTCATACAGCAGGTTACCTAAAAGAACCGGGCCACCCTCCCTGTTAAAAATGAACAAATCACCTACTGCCAATCGCAGTTCCTAGAGCTCGTCTGATGGATTGGGACATTTCAGGGAGAGTTACTAGAGGTGCTGAAATGGATGATTGTTGGACTGCGTTTTGTGTTTTTATTGCATTCGTATTTATTTTTATGAGCTTAACCAAGGTGAATGTATAACACATCAAGCATCGCAGCTGCATGCATCATGAATTGCATTCCACACACACATATATTCCATAATATGTCAGGATTTTGTGCGGCTGCTACCGTGGTCAGGTCTCTCTTGTAAAAGAGATTTTTGATCTCAATGGGACTTCCTGGTAAAATTAAGGTTAAATAAATAACAGACCCACTCAGTCATGAAAAACTGAAACTCATTTTTAACAACAAATTCATGCTTTTTTACAAAGAGTTCTGGGATTCTATAAAACCTGCTAAAATACCAATTTTGTTCTATGTATCTAAGTAAATTTAAATTTCAACATTTTATTTTCTCAAAATATAAAATCACTGAATCCTTGTGCACTTTATTCAGTTCATCCGCTCATTTTTAAAAGAAACACTCTAAACTTGTTGCCATCAAGTGTGATTGAGATCTTTTTTTTGTTGAATAGATGGCAACACTATTGTTGCATTGTGAACTTTACTTGATTCTGTCAACATTTGCCAAATGTTGTCTGAAGAAAATGGCTTTTACTGTGTGCCATTACTGTGATTACTGTGCCATTATGAGCTTTAGATGCAGCCAGGAAACGTTAAGTCATGGCGTGATGAATAATTGGGTATTTGAATTATATCCAGTGGCCTTTACTGTACTCTATTCGAAAACAAGGCTAGATATCAAAGTTTTATTTGCTACGTGGTATTTTATTTCTTATCGTTTTATATGTTGACAACATTAAGGTTGTAAAAAGTAATTTCTGTCTTCAGTATATGTGAAGCCATATGAAGTGAACCAGATAAAAAGGCAGCAATCATTCCATAAATATTCCCATTTTTGCTTCATGTGTTTGCTGTTGTACAGACAACCATAAGCTGAATACATGTACATATTGTTTTATACAAATGATGTATTGTTTTTGTAATAATGTATATATATACTAGTTTCAATGCCATGAAGAATGTTCTGAAGATGTCTGTAATGTTTGGAGAAATAAAGCACCTTTCCATAACCATTGTTTCCCTCCGTGCAGTTATAAAGACATTAAACTTCATATTGTTCAAAGACCAACTGGACTAATTTTGATACTGTATGTTCCTTTTGTGATTCCTGCTGCTGATAAACAATGCCTCACTGTGTGCCGACAAGGATTTCTTCTTACATGACAGACAACTGATTGGGTCCTACCAGATAGGTAATTAAGCGAATACACCAATTCAAGTCTTCATACTTTAATTTTAAGCTCAGGGAGACTCATTTGTGTACATTCTGATGGTCTTGTCCAGAATCATTTAGAATATGACAAACCTATTTATATTTAAAACCAAACTTTAAAAATTTTATGTTGGCGCTATACTACATGACAGGATGTAGGTTTTCAAATTTTCAATATTTAAAATAAGGTGCATTTTGAAACTATAAATATTTACACTACATCATGTTTTTAATTAAAAAAAACTTGAGATGAAAATCAGCTATTTTATATATAAAATTAGTTTAAATAGTTGTAAATGTCATCTGTTACAATAAAAAATATTAAAGTATGCATAACTAAATAGAAACAATTTGACGTTAAATAGATGCACCTGTCCTGTCCTTATATTTCAACCATGTTAATGGAATTGGTTATTGATCTCACCTCAAATAAATGTCAGTGGCCTTGTATTTTAAGGTACTGAAATGTCACACCTCTAATAACAGAGGGACGGACATTTTCACTTGCAGCTACATGTGACTGGACATATTACTCTATTTATAACAGCTGACTGCCAAGCCCCAGGCTGACATATGCAAGGACAGACGGACATCAGAGCTGAAATGTCCCTGCAGGGAGAAAGTACACAGACACCTTCAAAGTGGACGCTTCGTCCTTCTGCCTCAGGTAGGTTCTTATATCTACTACAGAAACACATCAACAAGACTGTGCTGTAGCTATGTGCTTCATGTCGGTTGTGTTAATAGACAAGACCTTTAATGACTTTGACGTTAAGAGAGAGTTGAAGGACTTTAATAACATCTACGTCCATTAAGATGAAAGAGTGATCCTAATAACTGAATAATAATAATATAATTTTACCCTGTGGCTAAAACAACGCTACAAAAAATGTGCTGATCAAATACCAAATATAACATACACTTTAATGAATTATTCGAGTTGGCACGATTTTAAGCAAGATTATATTTTAGTGTTAATATCATATTACATTAATGTATTTTTTTTGCAACTTAACTCCCGCACTGAGTTTGTTTGTTAAGCTGATACAGTATGTTGTTCCGTGACATTGGACAGCTTAGGTCATATGACTAAGAGCAGGGCCACAGAGTATTTTGGGGTCTGTTATGAAGCGTGTGACCACGGTGCTCTGGTGTTGCTTTGCTGCTCTCTGACGTCTTTACCTCTCCAGCTTTGAGCTAACACAGGAGCTTGTTGCTTTCCGCACAACAGTTTGCTAATGACAGCTGATTACAAGCAATGTTAAGCTTCACACAAATGCTTGTTCTATATTTAACTCAAATGTGTTGCTATAACTTTAACCATAACCCTGTGAGGATTCCAACGATGTACTGCTGCACACATTATTCTTCATGCAAAATACCTAAATCTGCAACCATGTAACACTAATCTTTATGTTTTTTCTTCTTTTTCAGACTGAAGAGCATGTGAGGTATCAAAATGGATGATTTAGATCACAGCATGCACATTGCAGACTATGACTGGACGAGCTTCTATGAGGACAGTGAGGAGTGTTGTCTGCTGCAGCCGTCACTCGCCTGCCCTGATAGCACGAGTCTCAGTGATTCAGAGGATTCAGGAAACTCAAGTTCAGTCTTCAGCACAGGCCAACGGGAGCAGCAGCAGAGTCCTGCTGCAAACAGCGACGCAGCAGGATGCTGTATGGAAGAAGTGCTGATTAATCAGAGTGTAGGAGTAGAACAAGACGATCTTACAACAGAAGCTGAAGAAGACAGTAAAACACAGAAGAACGCTGACATATGCCTCAGTTATCCTGAAGGAAATACTATCAGCACAGAGGAGGTGCACCTGAGGACTGCAGAGCACATTAGAGAGGAGACGAATGACAACATCACAACCGCACTGCAAACTGAGCCAATAAAGGTCCAGTCTTCAGATGGAGAACCAACAGAGCTGAAAAGAGAAGATGGAGACGTGCAAACAGAGAGTGACACTTCATCTATACATGAACCTGACCCACTTTCTTGCCAAAGAAAGAACCAATCAGAACTAAATGTGAATGACAGAGCTGTGAGCGAGGATGCGAGCAGTCTAGGAGCGGAGAAAGAGCGCTGGTTCGTGACAGTGAACGACAGTCCTGCACGAGGGCAGCGGGTGCGTGCCACTTCTGTGAAAAAAAAACGAAGACAAAAAAAAACTCGTAAGAACAATCACATGTGCAGGCAGGAGAAATCACTTGAAAACAGCTTAGAGTTAGAGATAGCCAGAGATAATAATGAATCTATGGGAGGGAGGGACACAGAGTTTGTCACACAGTCAGGAGGGCATCCAAGTGCTGAAGAAAACCCTGAGAGCACTTCAGATTCATCACAGATGCCTTCAAGGTCTGGGGAAGAAGACAATTTGTCAGAGAAACTAGTAACATCTCATATCATTGAGCAAATGGCAAACAGAAACAAACATGACCCAAGCAGCTCAGCTTCCACACCGCATGACACATTTACACCCAAAGACCCCTCACGGCTGGACAGCGTGGAGTCTGACGAACTTGGAGACGGTGTTGAGTTCCTCTCCGCTCACAGTTATGATTCAGAAAGCTATCTGTCAGCTACTGAATCACTGGAGGAAACTCAGTGTCCTCTCATGGAAAGCCAACAACAGCAGAGCTCCTTTTCTCTGACAGAAAACAGCTATCTGTTCAGTCTGACTGAGAATACAGATACCAGCAACACGCAGGACAGGGAAATGCATTCTGGGGCTAGCACCCTCTCTCGCAATGTAGCAGGTACTAACTCTGAAGGTTATGAATGCACTAATGTTGAACCTTCCCTGTCATGTCCATCTGTTGCCCAAAACGCTAACAAAACGCGAGATGACAACTCCACATGTGATAACGACACACACAGCACGCCGCTCCACACGCCCTCGGATACACCTGGATTCCAAAAACATGAAATCAATCTTTCAGCATCTGGTTGCTCTTCAGGAGATCAGCTTAGTCTTCCCCCTGTTCCAGATGTAACCCTAACACCTTGCTCTGCGGCCGACAGCCCTGAAACATATGCCGAAGCCGCGGGCCACACTCGACCTGTGTATGCCATTTCTGCTTTTTGGGATGAAATGGAGAAATTGACCATAAATGACATTTTGCAGCTCAGGATGGGCAGAAGCCCACCTCCCACGAACACACAAGAAACAGTGGCACCAAATGTAGATGATTTTTCAGCAAATCCCAGCTCTTTGGTTGACACTGTGGACTATAATTTGTCTGACGGTGGTCTAATGGATACGTCCGACACTGCTGACTCAGACTATTTCACACAGCCTGATGAATCCAAGCCAGATCGCTCAAGCTGCGAGTTTTCCACCTCCGATTTCGAAGAAGAGTACTGGCAGTTTCTTGGCGCCAGTAGGAACCCCAGTCCTGATCCTCAAAGCAAAAACCAACAAAGGGCAAATGACTCTTCTTTCTTTGCACATGAGGAAGAGGAGTCCACAAGCTCTGAAGGAAAGGAGACACCAGTGCCCTCAGAGGACTTCCCAGGGGAATCATCTGAGGATCAGGACTCAGATGCTTTCCTTTCAAGCGAACTTGCGTGGCCGAGGCGAATAAAAAAAAACAAAAGCGTGCGCAATGTACAAGCTCTCAACACAGAGGATTTATCTTTGCAGCTGTTGCTTGGTGATGATGAAAGCAGCCTGTTTCTAAGCAGCTGTCCATCTCTGGAGACAGACGTGGTTTTAGAAGCGAGCGACAGTCTGGAAACTGCATCTTTTCTATCCAACACACACTTACTGGATGAACACACCCAAATATCCTTCCCTGAAGTGTTTGAATACTTTTTCACAGAGGACAAAGCCAAGACCGATTCCCGGTGTGTTACTGTCTACAATCCAGAGGACATCTCAGTGGCTCCTGTGTTCAACTACACTCTCTGTACATTCAGCGATAAAACATCGTTCCCTTCCCTCTGTGATTCCCAGTGCAGCGAAGAGGAACCCATCCCCATTTTCTCTTGTTCTCACCCTACCGTCAGAGAACTCACATTCCCAAATCCGGACTATGTTTTCCTGAGTGCAGACTGTGAGGAGCAGGGTGACATCTCTCCAATCAGAGTTGTGTCACACTCTTTCATCCAGGGAAGCGATTGCGGTATGTCTCAAGGATTTCGCAGCTGGAGAAGTTTGCTGTCGTTTAGGAAAATCCGCTTTCACAACAAAGGTAGCATCTGGTGCAGGAGTTCTGGTGCCTGGGTGTTTCCAGTTGACACTGAGGAGATCACCATCAAGAGAGAAGATCCACCAATAACTGTTGTCACTGAGAGTAGAGTAGCTTTAGCTCCTTCCCAGCAGTTTAGAGAGCTTGCAGTGCAGCAGAGGATTTTGGAAACCATACAGACAACAAGTAAGTCCGAGCTTTCTTACGCACTGGACTGAATGTGTAAAATACATCAAAATAAAAATAAGAATTGAACAAAATCTATGTTTCTGTGCATGTTTATGTCTCTTATAGGACGAGAGGGCATTTTCTCCACACTGAAGCAGTCAGACATGTGTTTGGTCTGCATTGCTTTTGCCTCCTGGGTATTAAAATCCTCTGATCCAGAGGCTGCTGATGCCTGGAAAGCAGGTATGAAACCCATTGCACTGATAAGTCTGCTGTGACAGTCATTAATTACTAACTACTTTTAGTATACGATTTGATTTGAAAAATTTAAAGTTTTCAGGATGTTTAACTTCTCAACATGAAGAGTACACTGTATAACCTGACAGCCAGTTCTACAAACTAACCTTTATTGAAATCCTGTTCAGCTCTGCTAGCAAACGTGAGCGCGCTATCGGCTATCCAGTACCTGCGGCAGTATGTGAAGAAGAAAAATCCTTCTCAAGATGATCCCTGATGTGTACACACAAGAGATGTCATTTCCAAACACTTCCACTTGGGTCCATCCATGAATATAGATCTACTGTATATATACGTACATCTATTACAGATATGTACTGTTTCAGCTTATGCATTCGTTTCCAAATTACAATAGAGCCTGTAAAACGTAATGTCAGCAAGTCTGCAAGCTAGTTGGTTGTTTTATTCTTCTGTATGTTTCTTATTTCATATAAAGAGACACAAACCAACAATGAATTGATCCTAATAATCAATTAAATAATCGATCCATAAACACATCAGTGAGCCACTCTGTTATAGTCAATGTGGCCACTGCAGAGTCAGTCCAGCTCACTGGCTCACCAAATTAGGGGCTGAAATAGTTCCCATCAAATCCACTATTTCAACAACACGTTGTTTGTTTTGGTCTTTTTATGGAGTTTGTTGACAGTAAGAAAAATATTGCAGATTGTCAGCATTATTATTTCAGTTGCATTTTAAACTTTTCATAACTTTGGTTTTTCAGTTCTGGGTAAACCGATGTTGATATAAGGACCATTCTGTGAGTACAGACATACTTTTTAACATGTGCTGTTTGTGAATGTCCTGTTGTGCCTAAAATGTGGCTTTCTATGTCATACAGCTACAGTCAAGTTAAGTTGTAGAGGATAGAGGCAGCCTAGTGGAGTTTTTGAATAGATGCAGTGTATGTGGAGTTTCTTTGTAGAGGATTAAAAAAATGGGGTGAACACCTGAAAGAAAGCTGTGTTGTAGATAACGGTCTGGTTAGTATGTATGTTGTAAGAAAAGATTCAGTAGGTGACTGCTTGAGCTTTATGATAGGGATGCATTATCTACATCAGTGGTTCCCAAACATTTCTGGCCCTGTGCCCCTTTGAAACAATGAATCATGTCTACTTGTGACCTCTCATCATAGGCTGCATGAGTTGTGAGCAGTTTGGAGGGATTTTCTATTTTAAGACCATTTAATTTGAATAATTTCTACAGGCCTGAAGAGGACCTAAACAATATTAAGGTACACAGTAAGCACATGTAACTTGTAAGAGATTGTAAGAGATTTTTTTTCTCTTACTCCACTAATAAACTCACAACCCCAAACCTCAAAAACACCAGACCATCTATCTAGTGTGATTCAAAGACAGACTTTTGATTTCAGAATAGATAATGAATAGCTTTACCATCATACATAATAATATTTACATATCTGTTAGGTGTTGCTGTCTCTGATGCTTTTATGTATTACGCCAAAATGATGTGTGTCAAGTGTTTAAAAGATCTACAAGCTAATGATTGTTGTCAGAACACTTCATATCTCTTGTCAAACAAGGCTCGGTACATATGAGTTTACATATGACAGATTATGTGCAATAAGTGATTTAATGCAATAAAACCGTGATTATCCCACACTACTTTCTGTAAACTAATTTAAAACTGTTTACGAGAGGTGCTGATCTCTCTCTCTCTCTCTCTCTCTCTCTCTCTCTCTCTATATATATCCTCTATAGAGAGAGTATATATCAATATGGAGGCTGCAGCTTGTTGTGGTTCTGTTGAACTGAATTGTACTGACAGGTGTTCTGTTATTTTGTACACTATTTATAAACATGGGCAGTCTGAGGAAGTACAAGTACAAAGAGAATAAGGTGTCATTGCAGAAATATTTATTGAAATAAATATGCAATGGATACACTTTCATTTTATGTCACATAAATATTGAATTTAGAGGCAGTTCTTTTAAAAATTCCATTAAAATGCTCAAGATTTAGTTTCTCTCCAATCAAGTTATCCTCATCAAAACAATGTAAATACATTATTCTAACAAGACTTACTGTCTGTAGTGACAGATCATGGTCCAATTAGTAATTATCTCACCTTATAATACCATATACTGTTTTAGCTTATGATTTACTGCTATCGTGCTGAATCAAGGGTTAAGTGTTCACATCTACTGCTATATCAATAGTACTCATTCATATAGAATATTGTGAACATGTAATATTTACAATCTCAAAAATGAGCGAATAAAAGCTTCGGTTATACTGTGAAAAGATATCTTGATATATAAAACTTTAGGATTTAGACAAATATTTAGCAGATTTAAGAGTAAAACAAACCTCTACTATGCTTTCAAAGTCTAAACACCACAATGCAACTTGCTACTCTAGTTTGGTGAGAAATGAAGACATCATGAGAGTCATGCTAGGTCGTTACAATCATTCAAACACTGATTTAAATGTCATTCTGTACAAGGAAGTCATTTAAAAACAACAGGGATATTTAAACTTAACACCAAAGTCAGTCTGTTTTCATATCCTTTATAAGAGCTGTATTTTAGCAAATTTATATCACTGCATATGAAACAGTTCTACAGTTTGTTAGAGAAAATCTGTCACTTTAAATCTCACATGAACGGGTGAGATTCTTCATTATTTTTATAATAAAACTAGTATAAAGTCTTAAGTGATATGAAAATCTCAGACGGACTTTGACAGTCCCATTAAGTGCTGAACAAGGAATGCACATAAAGAGCCACAAAGATCTTTCTAAAATATATTAAAACAAAAAACTGACACACAAATATTCTCTTACAGTTTCAAAAGTACACAGTATTCTATTGGGTATGAGAGTAGGGTTTCATGCACCACCTGGTACTCAAGATGGCTTGTCACCTTCTTTCTTCAGACGGCTTTAGAAAACACAAACAAAGGTAGGTAAACTCTTTGTGCACTTTGCAGTGAAAACACTTTTTAGGTGAGTTTAACTTATTGTCTTTATTGTCCGAGTACTGGTCTGCTGATGAAAAAAGCTTTGAAGCAAAAAATTTGAATTGAGGATTTTTTGTTATTATCCAAATTAGTTGAATTTCTCAAGTAAGGTTTCAGCCCTTCACTAGATAAGAAGTTCAAAAACCTCACCTGTAATAATCTTCCTGACTGGGTAAAGGGCCTCCATGCAGGTGGTGCCCATGCAGCCACTGCTGCTCCATAGCCATCCTCTGCAGCTCTGCAGACTGAGCATGCATGGCCTGGAGCTGGTGAGCAGCAGACATCTGAGGAATCGGACCCTGCAGCTCTCGTGGATATGCCGCTCCTATGGGGAGCAGAAATATGAAAAGAGAATTGGAGGAGCTGGACTAAGAAAAAACTGTGAGTACGTTAAATGTGAAGACTACGAACCAAAAAGTGGGTGGCGCAGCATCTCGTGATCATGAGGAATATCGCTGAGTAAAGGGTTGGGGATCGGGCCACCAGGGAAGGGGAACCGGGCCAAACGAGGTCCTGTTGCCAGGGGGTCCACTAATGGATGAGGGCTTGAACCTGGAAGAAGAAATAAATCAGTACAGTAAGTAACTGTTACCTGTATGCCACTGGATGTATTACTGCTGACTAATTCATTCTAAAAAACAGTCAATAATAACCTCACCTTGACCGAGCGGATCCTGTTGGTGCAGGTGGAGGTGCGAGTGAATGTGAGAGTGCTGGTGATGATGCGGCGTCACATTGAGCATCTGCAGCCTGGCCGCAGGATCGGTCGCCACAGATGCCATCCTCTCTGCGTGAAGACGCTCTGCGGTGAGTCTCTCCGCGTAACTCAGCTCTGGGCGCAGCTGAGGTCCAGCCAGCGCCATCCTCTCCCGCTCCAGGTGGTTCAGCCCGGGGTGGAAGGGCGCAAAGTGGTGGGGAGGCCCGGGTATGTGGGGAAGAGCGATCGCCCCGTGTCTGGCAAAGTGCTCCATGGGGTTGGCCGAGGGGTGTAACGTTTCCATGTCCGGGGGCTTGACCTCAAAGCCAGGCTTCATCCTCTCGCGGAGCTCCCTCTCTCGGAGGTTCCTCAGCTCGCGCTCTCTGAGGCTGGGTTCGGCGCTGTACAGGCCAGGCATGTGGTAGGCCAGCAAGGGGTCGCCAGGGCCCAATGACACGTAGAAAGGATGGTTGCGGTTGGTGGGCGACATGACATGGGGCCGGGCATATTCACTCAGGGTGCGCAGGGCAGGTGTATCCGGGCCGATGTATGGTGGCACAGCGGCTACAGTGGTGGGCGGCTGCTCAAAGGAGGGGCGTCCGTGGCTCTGAACCACCATCTGAGCCTCACTCATACGACTGTCGTGGGAGGAGCTGGAGGCTCTCTGTAAGTAAAGACAGTGTGTGAGATAAGTCGTGTATGTTTTGTGACAGAAAAGATGTTTTAAAAGGAGTAAAGGAAATGTTGCACTCACAGCATTTCTGTCTGCCTCCCTTTCTCTCTCTCTCTCTCTGTCTTTCTCCCTTTCGCGTTCTTGCCGTGCACTGAGCTCAGCCTCTCTCCGGGACTTTTCCACAGCCTCCTCCCTTTTCTTGGCCAGCTTTGAGGACGAAAGTGGAGTGAAGAACAGGTCTGTTCTTGCACAGGAGTTGTAACCACGATCAAAGTGTTTGATAAACCTGAAAGAAATAACAGATGTCCATTTATGAGCATGACTACTAAACCTAATTTACACAAAATAGCCTCATGATTCATTTTAAGGTTGAGGAGCTGTTGGCACTATATGCATGAAACATAATGAGATGTACATGTACTGAATACTGCCCAAGAGGATGTAATTAAGAGTTTATTCGACCCTGACTTTTATTTACATTTTGATAAATGTGAAGCCACTTAAACCTGATTATTATATTTGTAGTTTTGGGCACAATTCCTGTTAGTTATAATGAGATTTCAGGCGCCAACGTTATTGCTAAGATCTGGGAACCACTTAACCACTTAGCAGCCCCACCAGCTATCAGACAGGTTTTAAACCTGTCTACAGTTTACCTCTATTATCCACTTATTTGTGAATGAAAACAAAAGTAGGCATTCAAGTTATAATGCCAACCTGCTGCTGCAAACAGCCACAGGAGTTTCAACTTAGACCAAAAATACTTGATGTAATTATGCACACAAGCAGATTTACAGACCAAGTGATATTTCCAACAGAATTGTTGGATCAGTTAGATTTTTGGCTTCATCTTCAAATAAATGGTTTAGATAACTAGGTTAAAGCTGCTACAATCATATTTTTAAACAAAAATAAGCTGTTATTGTTTAGGATTCACAAATTAATAACAGAATAACAAATAGTTCGACAGCATGGGCCTTCAGCACTGTGGTAAAGCTGCTTTCAACAACTCAACAACACCAATTCTTACAAGATGATAGCAATAGAAACATTTTCTTTGTGATTTTTCCAAGGAAGAATATCTTCAGACGTACCGAGCAGACTGGCTGGCATGGCTTGCCATGTTGACAATGGTGGGCTCTGGCGAGGGGCTCCGAGGCGGAGACGGTGGGCTTTCAGCCTCTTCCATCTCATCGAGTGGCTCTTCTTTAATCTGAATTTGTGATCCTCCTGCTGTGGTGCCCGGCGAGGGTCTCAGCGGAAGAGGTGGGAATGATGGCTGGAGGCTCGGGACGGGGCCAATAGCAATAGCAGAAGATGTTACGGAGGTGAGAGGGTGTGAGGCTGCAGCAGGCGGGTGAGAAGAAGTCATGCTTTTTCCAGGGTGGGTCTGCACCTGAGAGATCACAGGAAGCTGGGAAGGAAGTGACTGCATTGGCAAAGGCTGTGGCATGAGCTGAAGAGGGGGAGGGGGGGCACCTGGAGGATGCTGGTTGGGTAGAGAATTGAGAGGCTTTAGAGCAGGGGGAGGGGGTAGATTGGAGGGCATTTGAGGGAAGGGTGTAGCAGGCTGGTGTGGCATTTGTTTGTGTGAAGGTGGAATGGGAGTGGTGGGAGGAGGCTTGATTTGGGTGCCAGACAGAGAAGGCTGGGGGAGCTGAGACTCCCTAAAGAAGGGCGGGGGTCGCTGGGGAGCCTGAGGTGACTGGCCATGAGGCTGCAGAGACTGCGCAGAGTTGAGAGCAGGTGGGACCTGAAATGCTGGAGAAAGAGTAGAGTCCTGACCCAGCGCGGATGGAAGAGGACCAGGAAGAGAGTGAGAGGCGAGCAGCGGTCGGCTGCTCAGGCCTGCTGCGGCAGCTGGCTGAGGGGGGTCTGGAGAAGGAGGAGGGGGGCTCTGAGCAGGATCAGAAGGGGGGGTGCTGTGCGTTGGCTGAGGAGTGATGGGAGTGCCCTGAGAGGGAAGGGCTTGTGGGACTGGTGTGTCAGCCAACACAGCAGCGGGAGCAACAGGCTCTGATGGGATGGCGTTCGGCTGGGCAGATGAGTCAGAGTCGCTCTCGTTGCCCTGTTGTGGGCTGGGAATGCTGGGAGAAGAGCTGCGGTTGTCCTGATCAATATCTTTGGTGTCACTGCTGCCATCGTCCTGAGCACTGCGGCTTTCTGAAGAGCTCTCCTCCTCTACCTCGGCCTCTCCCTCTGACCGGGATCCCTGTGCATCCTGGAGAAACAAACACACAATTTATGATGTACTTAACTTCTCCCTGCCAACATATTATTATATAACTTTCTGTGCTCAGGTAACGTTGTAGGATGAGCTTCCAATAAGGAATTATCTTCTTATATGTCATAAATGCTGCCTTTGGAGAAGTTTTTAAAGGGTTCCCTCTCACCTGTGTCTTCTGCCTTTTAGGTGCAACTTTTTCAGGCTCGTCGGGCTCCTGAGCAGGACTCTCACGTGCACGTTTTGTTGTCTTTGGTGTTGTTACCTCCTCTTTTATCTTCTGTGGACACAGCGTGACATTTACACAGAAGGTGTTAATTACTCACAGGGATGACTGACACAAAAACCTCAATATTCAGCAAGAATCCATGGCTGCATGTATCCACATGCATGGGGACACATACTGTACATGGATAAGTTCAGTTACATGTAGGTTAGGACTAACTGAACTTTCATCCATACATATCACAAAACTAGATACCCAGTAATTGTGGCATTTGACACTTTCATTCCTAATATGACTGCAACAACACAGCTGTTCTGATAACATAATGTCATAAAGCTACAACATGTACATAAAATGTGTGTTATGTTCACCTTGTTTGTCTTCCTGCTGGATTCACTCCTACTATCTGTGGAAGACGATCGCAAAGAGGTTGCTCCAATCGGGAAGGGCTGGCTACTGGACTGCTGATCCTCACTGGTGGGGGAGCCTGTGAGCCTCCTGTGGCCACTTCTTAAAGATGACAACTGCTTTAGAAAAAAAAAAAATCAGCAAATTTAATTAAAACACAAGCAAGAAAGGTGTTTTCCCCTAATGTACAAGGTATTTTCACAGCTAAAGATTCCTGGTGTATATGATAGTGATATTTTGACTACATTTGACTGGTATTTGTGCAGACATTTTCTTGTAAATTCTTATTATTAGTAATTAAGATTATAGTGTGACTGATCTGCCAGCCTCAGGCTTACAGGTGCTCTGCTTCGCCGTGTCCTCATGCCATGCTTGCTGTTCACCTCTTCTTCCTCTTTAACAGGTTTAAACACGAATGGAGCGCCTGCAGATTTTGGAGCTGGTGGCAGGCATCCATGTTTGTTTTCATATGTGCGACAAGTCGTGCACAGCAATGGGTTATCTCTTCCACCCTGGTGCCAATCCTTTGAACCTGTTTAAGAAAATGTTTTCATGTTAAAAGGATGTCATGTCAAGTGTTAAGTTACGTTAATATTACATAAAATACTGAACACGCCCCAATGTGATAAATCACAAATAAATGACGTGTACTCACTTGTTGCGCCACAGTGGCTGCAGCTCTTGATTTCCTGTTCACTGTCTTCACTATCAAGATCATCCTCACTGGCAGAACTCGCATCCACTGCGAAGGACAAGATCAGTTTCAGTGAAGTGCAACTCATATGAATTCTACACTTTGTGACCACGCAAATATGAAGAAAATGCATTGGCAAACAAAAATAGCAACCCTCACCTGAGTAATTTCGTGAAGGGGTGTTGACAGGAGCTGCCGCAGAGCGAGTCTTTGCTTTGCGAGAGGACGGCTGTCTGCGCTGCTGTCGATAAGCTCTTGTTCCTGCAGCCTCAGGAGTTTTCTTCCAGTGGTAATAGAAAGTGATCAGCTCCCCCTGAGGACGAGAACACAGGGCTTTTAGTAACAAGTTATGTTTCTAATCAAAAAATATAGCAACCATGATCCACTGCATGTATTAGAAAATG